GCCGATGCCTCCGTCGCCTGGCTGGAGTGGCCGCGGGGGAGTCTGGAGTCGGGCGGCCGCTGGTGGGAGCCGCGGGTGCCCGGGCCGAGATTGGGGGGGCAAGGCGGGCGACAGAAGGCCGATGCCTCCGTCGCCCGGCCCTCTACAGAATCCACCCCCCAAACCTCCAGGTATTTCCCTCCTTAGAGCTGGCAACCCTACATTCCCCTCAGTGCCTGTTGGTAGGCAACTAAGCTTGGTCCTGTCACCTACTTTGGCCTTTGGGAGAAAACACATTGGGGCCAATCCTGATAGGGTTGCCAACTCCAGATGGGAAATTCCTGGAGGTTTGAGGGATGGAGCCTGAAGAGGGTGAGGTTTGAGGAGGGGTGGGACCTCAGACAGGTACACTGCCATAGACTCCACCCTCCAAACCAGTCAGTCTCACATAGGGAACCATTGTTGCCAATCTCCAGGTGAGGGCTGGAGAGCACTCAGTATTACAACTGCTCTGCAGAAGGGAGGGCAGAAGTCAGCTGAAGTCAAAGGGGCAGATAATGGTAGGTTGGTGGCTAGCTGGGAAGGAGATGGGGTTGCCAACTACATGCTGACAAATTCCTGGGGATTTGAGGGGTGGAGCCTGGAGGGGGTGGGGTTTGCAGAGGGGTGGGACCTCAGACAGGTAGAATGCCATAGACTCCACCCTCCAAACCAGCCATTTTGTCCTGGGTAACAATTGTTGCCAATCTCCAGGTGAGGGCTACAGATTACTCACAATTACAACTGCTCTTCAGGTAGCAGAGATCAGTTCCTCTGGAGAAAACAGTGGACTCTGTCATTATACCCTGCTGAGGTCACCACAGCAAATTGACACTGTTTGCCCAAAGCCAGAGCACTGCCCCAGAGCCTCTTTCTAGATCCCGTTGTATTGCTTTCACAACGGGCTTTACTGCTAGTTGCCTATAAAGCCCTTCAAGGCCTGGTACCTTCTTTATCTGCAAGATCACTTCTCCTAATATACTCTGGTACAGCAGCTCTGTTCCTCACATCAAGGCTTGCTTAAGATGCCAACATTCAGGCAGATTTGGTCATTGTCTGCCCAATCAGAGCTTTTCTGCGGTGGCTTCTGTATTATGAAATGGCCTTCCTGATGCGTACATTCACAGCATCCCAGTGCCATTGTAAGATGGGGTTAGTGAGAACTACCTTTCCAAGTGCTTAGTTTTGATGGCTAGGAATGGTATACTGTATGACCTCTGATTCTCTGACATAGCTAACATATTTTCCATTTTTAATTGATCTATTTTACATATTTTAAACATTATAACCCACCCTGAGTCTATAAGGATAAAGACAGAGTAAAAATTCCTCAAATAAATTGGCAAGATGCCATTACACACTCCTCATTAGGGGTGTTTCCAGATCAGTGGTGCTAGCACATTCCAGCAACCACAAAAAATACATCCGCAAAAAAAGTAATTCCTATTGTGAAGTGAATGGTTTACCTTAAGGATAGGTTCACACATGCATACCCCATTTGATTTAAGTCTTCTAAATTTGGGACTGAATCATGCTTTGCCTCATATTCATAGTGAGGAAAAGAAGTGAACCTTGGGCTCACATGGCCAGCACCCATGCAAACTGTCTATTTCTTTTGTATAGCAAACTGACTGTGCCTGTGACCATGGAGTAGCCATTTTAGAGAGCAACTCAAGAATGTGGACTTCCACTTATAACTAAACAATTTGTTATACACCCTTTGGACTTGACCCACTTTTTCCTTCATACATCAGATTTAGTTGAATGAGCACAAGTTTTAGAAGAAGGTGCTTACCAAGTGGGGCTTTTAGGAACTTGCGTTCAATGCCTTGCTGTATTTGAAGCAGTGTAGCTGCCAAGTAGCGAACTACGTTATTCACAGGCTGTGGAGTGCTTGTGTTAGTTGAAGCAGTACTTGGAGATTCAGATTTGAGTCCAACCAACCTACAGAGAACACTAAAATGTTAAAATATACTGTTTATTTATATTTATTTATTTATAATTTCAATTTATAGCCCCGCGATGCGGGCTCAGGGCGGCTCACAAATAGGCATACGCCAACACATAAAAACAGTTAAAACCATAAAAACCATTATTACAGAATTACAACATAGATGTTTTAAATAATCTTTCATCAAGATGGCATGTCTAAGATGGTACATCCAATCAGTGCTATCAGTTCCACGTGGCACTGTCGTTCTCTCTTCCCAGGGCCAGTTAATAATGATGGTATGATAGTGGCGGCTCCTACCCAAAGGCCTGGCGGAAGAGCTCCGTCTTACAGGCCCTGCGGAACTGCGCCATATACTGTTCACTGTGTTGTTATTTTTATATATTTATGGACAAGATAAATGCACATATTTCAATGGAGTCAATATTAGTTTAACTACAGACCTTAGCTTGCTACTGTGTTAATGTCTGTATGTGGCAGGGGGAAACCCTTCCTTCACTCACAAATGGGATGCTAATTAGGTATTTTTGCTTTCATGACAGTTGGCATTAAGACTGAGCATCTCCCAGACTTACTCATATCACGGCATTGCACTTGAGCAGAGCCACTGTATTTACTGTAAGTTAACATATATTTGGCAAACAGTACTTCATGAAGAAATAAGCACATCAGACCAGCACTTAAGAACATTAGTTAGCGGTTTCCAGTCCTGTACTCACTATATAACACATACATGTGTCAAAAGGTAAAGTGACTTCTGAATTCTGGCCACAACTACTCTAATCTCACTAAAACAAGCAGAACTGCATCTCACATTTGTTTCAAGTAAGGCTTCTGTAGTACCTATTTTCAGTTAATTGTGTCCCAAGAAAGGTTTGAAAAAGAAGCAGGGCCACTTCATACAACATAAATTTCTAACATACATATTTCTACATCAGTAACCACATTGTACTGTTAGATTCAGATGGGTAGCCACGTTAGTGTGAAGCAGCAGAACAAAGTTGGAGTCCAGTGGCACCTTTAAGACCAACAAAGTTTTATTCAAGGTATAAGTTTTCATGTGCACGCACACCTTGTAAGCTACCCTGAGCAGATGTCTTGAGAGGCCCATACAGCTTCTAAATAATCAATGGCATATAACCAGCACAAACACTGTCACATGCAGTGAGTATATCTATCTATTTTGCCATCTGTCCCTGCTGAAGAAGCCAGCAGCTACTAATTGTGGCTTCCAGCCATGTGTATATGTTGCAAAATATGTGTGCATTTGTTCCACATGAAGCAATGACAGTGCTCAACATTTGTGTAGGAAACTCATCCTTTAAAAGACCAACTAGCTATTTTCATGGTGATTACTTGAAAATAAATTGATGTCTTCAGTATATTAAATGCAGCACCTTTTCACAATGTGACAGTGGTGGCATACAACACATTAAGATTCTCAAATATGTATAATTTAGGGATATCCAAAATTAACTGTATTCCCTTGTACAATATCTTGAATATTCCAAGCACAATCATTAAAAGGAACAATCAGTAATCCCTGGAGATCTTCAGAAATGTCCACTGTAAATTCTGGTGCCAGTGCCATCCCACAAAGTGGAATCAGAAGGAACAGTGAGAGGTCAGTCATTCATCAGATAATCTAAGTGATAAGGGCATCCTCCAAAACTGTCGAAAAAGCAACTGTCCAAAATTTAATCTTTTCTTCCAGATTAACTCCAGAAACTTAATGAACAGCAAATCAAAAAGGAAACCATGGCTGCTGCCACACACGCTAAGTAATCCACTTTCAATCCACTTTCAGTGCACTTTCAAAGTGGAGTTTTACTGTGTGAACTGGCAAAATCCACTTTGAAAGTGCACTGAAAGTGGATTGAAAGTGGATTACTTAGCGTGTGTGGCAGCAGCCTCTATGATTCTGCTTACTGTTTCATGTTTGGCTGTTATTTCTTTGTTAAAATCTATAGCACGCTCTCTCTCACACACACACACGCTCTATTGTAATGGCTTCAAGTATAAGGCTTTAAAATATACTAAAACCACCTTCTTTCTTTTCCTGATACAGGCAAACCAATTTAAATTTAGACTTCTATCCTGTACTCCCCTAATAGCAATACTGTGGCTTTAAACATTTAATTTCTGTTAGTGCATAACTTCAAAAGATAAAGTAATGCCTAACTCTGCAATGGGACTTTAATAAAATGACTTAGAAAACCTATCACTCAGATGCTGATGTGGCCTGTATGAGCAGAGCAGATCAAAAGAGCAGATGTTGCACACTCTTTTGATGCTTTGAAGTTGCAGCCATTATTTTGCAATCAAACACATCTTTAATATTTTATCGTTCCAAGAACAAAACCTAAAATAGAGACGAAAGTGCTGCCTCCAAACAGCACAATTTCTTATCATTAACAAGGATTTATCTGCTCAACGATCTGTATAGAGTGCTAAACATCAAAGTGATAAATACAACTTCAACATCAGTACTAAGGCTGCCTCAAACTTTGCAATCAAATTTCCAGAGTGAAAACTTTGCTTTGGAGGAGTGTGAAACCCCATCTAAAAACCATTTTGTAACTGTCCACTACTGTTTTCATCCACTTCCTTTGCTACCGCCTTTGATGCCCTTCCCCACCCATGACTTATTCCAGCTGCCAACAATGAGGTTAATGTAATGTCACAGCATCACACAGCCAATCCGATATGGTAGTGTGATCATAGATTCAAGTGGGTAGCCATGTTGGTCTGAAGCAGCAGAACAAAGTTTGAGTCCAGTGGCACCTTTAAGACCAACAAAATTTTATTCAAGGCATAAGCTTCTGTGTGTAAGCTTCAGATACAGTGTGATCAGTAAGAGTGGATGAAGCCAATTGTTCTGCTCTCATTTTGAACACAGGAGAATGATATTGCCCATTTTGCTGCATTGTGGTGGTTGTATTGTGGCAATACAGAGAAATTAGGAGCACTGTCCCAGTTTCCTCAATAGATTAGTATGTTAACTTCTCCCCACACACTAAAAAAATAAAGGGTAGGTAAGTGTCTTCTGGGTGGTACAAAAAAGTTATGTTGCTTTCAGCTTGCTCCTCATTACAATTTTTTAAAAAATTAAGTCATGAAAAGTTAAGATAACCAGAAAGTAGAGCTTAATTAACAAACATACACAAAACAAAGCCCTAACCAGGAGAAACACACCTTTTCCAACATAATATGGAATTTCAGTAAAGGGAGAGAGTATTTAAATTACTAGGTGCAGGATTCTTCATGTCAAGGTGAACTGAGCTTTTATTTGTGTTGTGTGTGCGCATGTGCTTCCATGCCTGGATGTTATGGAGACTTCAGCTGACGTTTTCAGAAAGGTGGCCTGAATGCCTGCCTCGGTGTCCTGAGTCCTGTATTCCCTGGAGGTCTCACTTCCAATTACTTGCCAGGGTTGGCCCTGCTTAGCTTCCGAGATCTGACGAGATTGGGCTTGGCTGGGCTATCCAGGTCAGAGCAAGATGATCAGAGCTTTTAAAATCAAACATCTTGTACTAGCAGGGAGAATTATAGTTCAGGACTATGCTTTACAGTACGTGTCTCAAGACCCCAACGTCCCTCCTCCTGAATACAGTATAAATAATTTGTGATCTCCCCTTTTCCTGTTTTTTTCCCCTGCTCCCCCACATTCTGTGGGTTCTGGATGGCAATGGGCATAATGTTGCTATCAAGTCTCCATTTTGTTGGCCTCTCTTCTGGGCTCCATCTTGGTGCTGAGACCTCCCTGCATGTCACATGAGGCTCAGAAAGCAAGTCTGGGCTAATCTCCAACAGCTTTTGTCTTGGAGAAAAGACAAACTCAGGCAAACCGTCACCTTGACGCCATCAAGTTCAAAGGCAACTTCTCTCCTTGCCTAGTCCTAGACCATTAATTAGGACCTCAATAAACCAAGGTACATTTGTACTCAGCGGCTTGGCTTCACACCCTTCTTCCCCCCTTCCTGCTGCAGCCCCAAATGCCCCTTGAAATGCTACTCACAGAAGAGACAAGGAAACCCCCAAGGAACAGCACGAAGGAAGAGTCAAAGGTCAGCAGCAGATAGGGGAATGAATGAAAATTATACTCTCTTCCATTGGCAGAAATTTTGCAATAGATCTAACATGATGCGTCCTGCTCCATTAGCATCCCTGCTAACAAAGACGCAGGTTCACATCAGCATTCATGGCTAAAAAGCTCTCTATCATACTAACAATATAGTTCCACTGGAATTCCATTCCATAGAGCCTGTAAAACAGAGATGTTCCACCAGGCCTATGGTTGAGGTGACAGTAGCCCATCTGAATTGGCCTCCCCTGCCCTGCTCTGCTAGCATGCTTCCCCTGTTCACCCACCTGCCTCAGTATTTTACTGTCTATGGTCACACATATGTAGAACTTCCTAATAATAGTTACTAATTGTGCTGCAGACAGTCATCTAATGGTTAATGTTAATTGATGTTTTATATGGTTTTTAATGACGGTATTATGTTTAACTATGTCTAAATTACTGTTTTGTATGTACTATTGTAACCCCACCGAGCCTACTGTGTTGGGGAGGGAGGGCAAGAAATCAAATCAATCAATCAATAAAAATGTCCTTCAAAAAGGCTAGGTTGATGAGATAACTACAACTGCCTCCAACATGGCTCCTTCCCACCCCAAGACCTCCCCCTCCTTTTCTTATTTGGAAATGTACCTAGGACAATCAGGGAGCATACTTGTGAGGTCATCTGGCTTCTCCTCCTCTTTTTCTGGGGGGAAAATGTTCAAGCCAGGAGCCTAATAACTGAAGCCAGAATCTGTTCATCTTATGGGGTACTCTGTTTTATCTTGCCACATGCCCCAAAAGGAGTATCTTGCCCTGCTTGGTTCTGCATTCCCTTTTGGATTGCCCCCATGGGGCTTTTTGGCTGCCCAGGCATTATGAAGCCCCTGCTTTGGATCCAAGAAACAATAACCAGCCCCGGCTTGCCAGGTCTCCTCATTCCTCTGGCAGGGGGGGGATTTGGGTGGTGTTCCGGGGGGGGAGTCACTCAGCACTTCTGTTTAGGGGTGGGGTTTCCCCTGCCAGTGGTCTGTGGTGGAGGGTAGCCCCTGAAATTGGGGGATCCCCTGCCCAGACCTGGGGAATGGCAACCCTACTTACCCTCTTGTTCTACCTTTGCATTTTAACATGGGCATTCTAGTAGTTAGTATTGTTGCTGTATACCAGATATTATCATGACTGAGTGTGCTCTCTAATTTCACCAAACTCCAGGTCTCAGTAGGCTCTCTCATTAATCTGCATTTCTACAGAAATATGTTTAATAAGAGTCATTAACCCACAATGTACAGAAAGTAGTAGTTATAAATTATATAAACTAACTTCTGTCAGATTATTAAAATGTGTGGTTAGGGCTGAAATAGAAACCTGCCATTCCAGTATTAGCTGGAAAATAATTTCACTTTTAACATATATTGTTACCTGTCTTTTACAATAACACCTTCTTGATCATCAGTTTCCATCTCTTCAGCATCTCCAGTGATATTTTTTGTTATACCATTTTCTTTGTTTTCCTGATTTAGCAGTTCATACTGTCCACTTTCTAAGGCTGCTCTCCAAACTTGTCTGTCTGTTACCTGTAAATATATAAAACAGGGCTGCGTTTACTTGTAACAGTTGTTCATCAAGTGGTCTTCTGTGCCGGTATATACTGGCCTGCACATGCACAGTCCCATGCGCAACTGCTCAGAACCAACAAAGATTAACGTTATTTTACTACATTATTATATACAGTACATTTTTATGACAATTTTCACCTTGCTATTCCTAACAAAAAAACCACATTGGCTTACATCTTACTGACTTTCTGCAGATGGAATTCCTACCATCAGTGAAAGAGCAAAAATTTTAGCCAGTTCCCACTCTCCCTATGGATTCTGCTCCCAATCCTGTTCATGAGGGTCCTTTGATCCAGGGATGGGGGGGTGTCAATGAGCTGAAAGTAGGAGGATGGAATGTTCCATTCCACAAGCTGCTCATGTTTTGTTGGATAAGTCAATGTATTTAAATAAATTCAGACGTTTTATAGGTACCATATGCCCCCATAAAATACAAGTAAAAAGATACCTTAATGGAACCTAACGTTCCTTGGTAGATTCTGTCCTCAATGTCCAAAAGAAAGTCTCTGAGTCTCAGTTCAAGTTGCTTTTCTGCAGACATTAGAGTTATGTCATAGGCATTCTGCGATTTCCCCCGGCCTGATAGTGGCTTGCTTTCATTCTGTGATTTCTCTGTAACAGGAGTCAATACTCTAACAATGTTCTCCACAGCTGGCCTAAAAGCATACCACCTAAATATATTTTCAAACTGCATTCTGATTTCAGCATTGTTTATTCAAGAACTGCGGTGGTTATTACCGAGACCAAATGCCAATTTCTCTCCTCAAAGGGAAAGACTAACATCAAACGGTAAATGACAAAATGGTAAAAGTTAAAGTTGCATCATATGAGAAAACTGTCACCATACTCAGCAAATAATATCCATATATCTCTTTCTAATAGCACTTTGACTTCCCAGAAGAAAACTATGTTTTAAAAAATTGGTGTTACAGATCACTTGAAGAGTAACAGCAAAAGATAGGAAAGTACTGACCAAGATTAAGCTTGATTGTGCCTGTTTTCCTACCTAAAAATACAGATGAAGTCCACAATTCATGAATAAGGCTACATGGGAAAAGTCCTAACAATAATGTATTGAACGTGTTACCAAAACTCTTTCAGATAAATCATACTTTACAAACTTACAAAGTTGAAACCTTGCATATTTTCTACATTATTTTCAGAATCTGAGAAATTTACAGCAAAATCAAGATTAAGAGGCGGCAGATAAAGTAAATGTGACTGGTAGCAATCTTATGTCCTCTTGACAGGAAGCATTTCTGCCATTTAAGGGATGACACAACATGACTATACTTTTTTTAAAATAAAGGGAGAGAAAGTCCTTCGATCGTAATTGTTCTTTTACAAAATTAGTTTAACCAGTAAAGTCAATTTTCTACCAGCCTTTGTAATGATACAAATGTACTAGTCTAAATCCTTATATATTTTTATTTGTATATAATATAGTGGCTCAGTATATTGTCTTACTATTGCCTGGGTACATTCTTATACTGTATCAGGGTGAAAAGAAAGAATAATTTTTGAGGCCATATTTTAATTGTCTCAGTTCTGAGGTTTAAAATATATGATTTATTGAACACAGCAAGATTTAATTAGGGACACAGTCCATTTGGTGCCCCCTGACAAGGATGCCCACAACAACTACTGGAATCCTGCTACTCTGCTGCCATCTCCTACATCTCTGGGTGCACGTGCAGGTTTCTGTGTGTCATTAGGGGGACTGAGAGTTCTGTGGGCATACCTTCCATATCCCCATGCAGCTCCACTCCTGAGGCAAAGGGATTATTGGATGAAGATGCTGGATTCACACACAAACCTCCCACCCTCTGAAAATCTGTCTTGCTGCATGCCTGTACAACAGGGGGCGGGAGACTATTATGCCCTGTAAGAGTAGTCCATGTGCATTTGTTAAATGAATTAATTATGCATTTTTATTTATGTAAATTTATACACTTTACAGAATATTACTGTAAACTATGTGCAGTCTCTATTGACTGCGCTGACATATCATAGTCTGCTTTGGTTACCTTGTGACCTAAATCAAATAAAACTCACAATGCCTTTATTAAGGGGACAATCTCCAGCCTGTTCATAATTTTACACATAGGAGCAATTTCATTGACATCATCCTATTTTCTTGTAACAGAAAGTCAAAGTACATCAGAAAAAGGACATACAGGAAATAAAGATCTTTTATTCTTGCAAGGTACCTTCCATATTTGGTTGTAAGAGGTTGCGATACACTAACAGCAAAGAGCACTCAAACCATGTTTCCATACAAAGAAAATTAATTCAATCTTTTACTATAAGGAAAACTTCTACAGGAGAGAAGCTAATTTGAAATTTACCTTGAAACTGTAATATGTGACCGTTATCAATAACTGATATAAATACACCCAGCAAAACCAAGAATATTTACCTGAAAAATGGAATTTTTCCACAGGAAAACTGTTCAGTTGTTCACATATTCTGTTCTTCTCCTGCAAAAGATTTTCCCTTAAGGCACTCTCCCTGTGTCCTCGGGAATTGAGAGATACTATGAGTTCGTCCAGTTGTTCTTGAGAACTGTAAAAGCACCACCGGTTTGGTTTATATATTGGTCTTGGCACATGTACAGGAGCACCAGTATACACATCTTGGTGATCATTGGAGGTAGTTTCCATCTTTACAGACTCTCCATTGTTAGTGGCTGCCTGAGATTTGTCTACAATATGACACTGTACATTATTTTGAAATGAAGATGGCCGAGGCAAGAGCATGTCTTCTGTAAGACCAGCATAGTCTTCTTCTACAAATAATCCAGGAATAGAGGGGAAAAGCCAGTAGCGTCGATACAGACGATCACGACCCAAAGGACAGATATTGGTACAGGCGGTGGCTTTCTGAATCTTTTCTATAAGTTCCTGTTCTTTAGTTTGCCGCTCCTGTTTTAAGGCTTCTTCTTCTTCTGGAGTAAGTGGCTCACACTTTTCAACAGAAGTCTCTACTTGCCTTGCAAGATCTTTAAAGCCATTCTGTCCTCTTCTGCCTACAAAACACAGTTGTAAAAAAAATGATGGCTATAAATGACGATAAAAATGACAAGACACAGCATTATCTACATACAGCTTCAAAATGTATGTTCTTTGTCTCATATATATGCAGAAGAGACATATGTGTGTCATACATATATATAATGCAGAGTTTTTTTTTTCCCCCCACGAGCTGCCTCAGGACAGTCACAAGTCATATCACAACACTGTTACAAAAAAAAACCATAATAAGAATGTTAAAACATACAATTTCAAACCAGATTAAAATCACTTCAATAAGATGCAGACCAGTTCATGGGAGTCCAGAATGCCTCCTATATGGGTGCAGCTAGGTGATCAATAGACATCCAATTCATTGGAGAATGCTGTGCAGATTTCTATAGCACTGAGGGGCCATTAATTAGGGCAATATGAGCAGGGAAGGCCAAAATGGTTGGATGCCTGCCACCTCAACTGAACAGCTCCGTTTTACGAGCCCTGTGGAATTGTAATAAATCCCACAGGGACCTGATCTCAAGTGGGAGTGTGTTCTAACAGACTGGGGCCAGGGCAGAAAATGCCCTGGACCTAGTTGAGGCTAGGCAGATGTCTTTCGGGTGGGGGACTACCAAAAGGTGTTGGTCTGCGGAGTGCAAGGCTCTCCAGGGCACATATGGGGAGAGACAGTCCTGTAGGTATGTTGGTCCCTGGCCGCATAGGGATTTGAAGGTTAAGACCAAAACCTTGAAACGGATCCGATATTCAACTGGCAGCCCATGCAACTGGCACAACACTGGCTGAATGCGCGCCCACACAGACGTTGCAGTCAGCAAGTGTTCTGCCGCATTTTGCACAAGCTGCAGTTTCCAGGTCAGATTCAAAGGCAGCCCTACGTAGAGTGAGTTACAGTAATCCAATGGTCTGGAAGTGACCACTGCATGGTTCACTGTAGCTAAGTCCCAAGAGCAGAGATAGGGAACCAGTTGCCTGACCAGCTGGAGATGATAAAAGGCTGTTCTGGCAACACTGGTGACCTGGGCCGCCATGGAAAGTGAGGCATCCATGATCACCCCCAGACTTTTCACCCTCTGTGCTGGCGTCAACAGTTGGAATATATATAAATATATATATTTATTCTGCATTATGTATATGACACATATGTGTCTCTTCTTGTATTATATACCCAAGTTGTATCCCCGTTCATTATTTTTACATGGACATTTTATCTTCTGCATACTTTTGAACTAAAATAGATTTGCTAGAAATAGCATAGGATTTCATGCATAGGTATTCCCAATTTATAGTCACTGATAACAGTTAACAGACTGATATAGTTAACAGACATTGACTGAAAAGAATATTGTTGCATATTCTCCACCTCTCCAAGTGCTGCAAAGTTCCAGGGTTGGCTCTCTATGGCTTTTTCGCTCATGCTGAGGACAGGGTTGGCTCTCTCTTTCTCTCATGCTGAGGACAAGGTGAGAATGCAGAAAATGTCCCTTCTCCTCACTCCAGATACACAAGGGCTGCCTAAAGTTCAACAGCGGTGTGCTTGGTGGGGTAGTACGCAGGGCATGCAGTAGTCATGTGGCTTTTTTGGTTGATGCTAATTACAAATGTGGCTTTCAATAAGACATGGAGCACCATTTATTTATGAATACATAAGTAGAGCACAGATGGAGGCACAGAGGCGCTCCTTAGGGGGCAGCAGATCCACTACAAAAGTTCGGCAGAGACAGACATCCTGGATCCTCAGGGTGTTACAGTCAACTCACAGCAATTCTCATCTCCTCCTCCTGTTTTATTCAGAATCAAAACTGCTGTATCTTCACACACACACACACACACACACACACACACACACACACACACACACACACACACACACACAGAGTTACACGCCTGTCCCCTCTAGCTGTGTGTGGGGAAATCAGCTCTTCCAAGCTGAGTGTCATCTGTATATTGGTGATGACCCAGCCTAAATCTCAGGATGAGCTCACCCAGTAGTTTCACATAGATGTTGAAAAGCATAGGGGACAAAATGAAGCCTTCTGGGAACCCACAGGCTAAAGGACTAAGCATCAGTCCCCCAGCACCATGTTCTGCAACCTATCCCTCTAGGTAAGACTGGAGGCACCATTTACAGCCTTGAAAGAGGATCCAGGAGGATGTTGAAAGTCACTGACAGGTCCAGGAGAATCAAAGTCACATTCTCTCTGTCTGTCTCCCAGCACAGGTCATCCACCAGGGTGACCAAGGCCATGAAATTTTCAGTCCCATAACTGGCCTGAAACCAGACTAGAAAGAACTCAACCAATACATTTCATCCAGGAATGTGTGAAGTTATCAGTCCACCACCTATTCAGTTACTGTGCTCAACAGTGGAATATTCGACATTGGTCATTAGTTATCAAAATGCAAGGATGACTTCTTTAGCAATGGATGTACCACAGCCTGTTTCAAGACTGGGGCGGACCACCCCCTCTCTCAAGAAGGCATTAACTACCTTTTGGATTCAGTTACCCTGCCCCTTCCCCAGCAGATTTATGTAGCCAAGGAGGGCAAAGATCATACAAGCAGATGGTAGGTCTCAAACCCCAAACGTGCAATCTTATTAAACCTTCCTCTTATACTAGCACAGAGCTTACTGCTACAGATGCACGATCCCTACCTTTTCAGAGAGACAAAAAAACAGATGGTAACCAGAGGAAAGAAAAACAAGGCCTAAACATAACAGGGAAAAATATGGAAATATAGTCAGCTTCATAAGATTCTTATTTTGATAAGTGAGTAATCAGAATATGTTTCTTGGAACATAAGGACCATAACAAGAGTTTTTTGCTTTGGATGCAAGGATCAAGAAGCCTACATGATGAAAAGAGTTAAGAGTGGAACAAACTTTAAATTTAAACTTTTCTCTCCAACATGGCAGAAGAGCAAGTAGTATAGAAGCTCTGGTGATACAGCTTTTCATTTAAAATCTTAGGAACACAAAACTTTGCATCAATATGAATTTAGACTTGACCATGAACATATATAAAAACCAATTTACCTCCTTTCCTCTTTTTGTTTGGTCCTATGTCATCTTCATCATCTGATGCAATATCTAGGTCTCGTTCCTTAGTTTTAACTTCCTTGCTTTCTGTACTTGTATCAAGATCTTCCCGTTCTTCCTCCCTGATACAATACGCACACAAAAAATGCAGAGAACAAGCCTTGCATAGTCAAAGAGTTGTATGGATTAAATCTGCACAGCACACTGTCACGCACTATAGGACATATTATGTAAAGCTGTTTCACCCATCTGTGTACCATGAACCAGGCAGAGGCACTACTCTTAACTGCTGTCCCACAACTGTAGAACTCCAAGGAAAAAGATGTATTATAATAAATATATTGTGCATTTACTAGAACTGGGGATAGATCCATACTTGAGCTCACTTTTAGTAATTCAGGTGTAAACGACCCATATAAGAGTGCATGCACGCACATGTGCATTGCATTTAAAAAATTTCCCTACCTTTAAATAGAATGAAAGAAAACATACACTTAAAGAGAGTCTCATATGTGCATTTTCATCCTTTGAATTTATACTGTCAACATTACAGACCAGGTATATCTAGATAATTTGACAATGCCCTTATCAATCAAAAATAAAGTCCACATACTTTAGTTTAATGCATATTAAATGGCTGCATCTGAGTGCTATTGTAAGTACAGACATTAATTGATCATACCCCACAGATACTTCCATTGCAGGATTTTTATGTTCTTCCTTCAGCTTCTCCAGTTTCTCTTTCAACTTCTGTTCCTGCCCTTTTAATTTTTCTTCTTTTCTCCTGCGGATTCTAGAGTTAAATAGTATACGCAACCTATTAGTTTCAGCATATGATATCTTTCAACTATTTCTTCTGATCATATCATTATACTGAAAAGTGTGGCACAGCAACACACATATGAATTAAACAGAAACCTTTGTATAATCCATAGGACTAATATTTATTGTCAATTCTCACGGGCAGCTCACTAACTCAAAACTTGTATACTGAATTAAAAAAAACACCTGCATAGGTTTTAGTACAAAATAAAATCAGTTGTAAATAGGTTAACATTTCTAAGCTATCTATGCCAGAAGGGCCTTAACACCATGGGCTATAATGGATGTTACCTTTTCAATAGTCTACTCTTCCAAAAAATTAAAAGCTGAACATGAACACTTGTGATGTCTATTGGGGGACAGAAAATTCTACTTCTCCCACTGAATCGTCCCTTTTCTCCATCTTCCCACCCTTCTCCTACATGCCCACTCACCTCTCTACTCACAAAGTGGTGGGTGAGGGGAGAGAGCCAAGCAGCAGTCAGCTCCAGCTTCCTCTTTGCCTGCTCCAAGTGGCCATCACCATAATTTTGCATGGCATTCTGGATCCCACCCAAACTCTGGGTGGAGAGCTGTTCAGCTGTGCAGATGTCACATTTATTGCCTTTGGGGTCCTCTTTTTATTTTTTTATTCTTCCACAAGCCTGGGGGTTGCTCTCTGGGATGGCAGAATCCTAAATTATAGCCACATTTAGTCTTATTGTATATATTTTTTGATATGTACAGGGGCCAGCCCTTGACTATGAGATACAAGGATGGTTCTGACTGGAGATCCAACTTAACTTTATCTTTATCATATTTAATCTGCTGTATTGTGCTCACCTTACTGCTGCAGCTTCTCTTGCTTTACGATGCTGTTCTGCTTTTAACTCTCTGAATTCCTGTTTTGCCTGTCGTAACACATCAACGGAGTCCTCAATGAAGTCCCGAGTAGAAACAAGAGTCAATAGTTTCCCACAAAGGGCATGAAGAATCTTCATCTTCTCCCCTAATAAAATCCACATTAAGAGTAATGTCTTATTACAGTAATGTAAACATCTCCCTTTGCACTGATAGCTAGGTTCATTATTGGACAACAGGGTGTCCTAGTTCAGAAGTGGTATCTTGATCATTAAATCATACGGCCCACTGACAAAACCTGAGTTTAGGAAGAGGCAGGAACCTTTTTATTAAAGGACTGTAATGCCATTCCAGAATGTAGCCATCCCATGTTACATTTTTCTGTTTTTATAATGTCCACCATAACTTCCAATGGTCATCTGAACTTCCCAAAAGCTGTTTTCCTTTCTACATATGGACCAGGACTCAAAGGAATGCACAAAGGAATCTGAGCTAGAATTTCTTGAACCAGCAGCACCACATGCCACTATTTTTGAACTAGAAAGGATTCCTAAAAGTAATTTGTACAGCTGGGGCAGGGGGGAATCAGCTGCTCAGAGAATAAAAATTCCAAACAGCATTCCTAAGCACTTGTGCCTGAAGTAGCTCATTGGATCTCAACCACTGATACTTCAAAAATAAGCTCAAGTGAAAGTAGAACAACAAAGAGCAAGCTTCACCACATTAAAGCACCTGTATAACTTGCAATTAAAAGTTGTGGTTAACATCCTATTCTCAGTCTCACTGTTCTTACTGTGCTACATCTTGCCTGACTACAACCCTTCTGGGCATTCTGTGCAGCACTTAACATAATTGCTGATGCTAAAAATATTAAGCTATTTAGTCATTATGTTTGAAGAGACTCAAGCAGGTTTTTCTTGACTTCATCCATGCGAATTTCTGGGATGACATGGGGCCACTTCAATCCAGCTTTAGGCCCTGTTTTGGAACTGAAACTGCCTTGATTACCCTGAGGAATGCCCTTTGGAGGGAGAAGCACATCATCGTGGAACAGCTACCTCAGGTGGCTACTCAAAAGCACTATGCTCTAATGATTCCATTCCTACCAAGCTGGCTAGCACCAGAAAGTGGTGTTGGGGACTACTGCTCATCGCCGTAGCACTTGTGCTAACAGCTCCCAGAGAGTTCCATCAGGCCCCCTAGGCTGCTTAACTCTTACATGAAACCACAAAGAGAGGTCATTTGGATATCTAGAGTAAAAGGACATCAGCATGCTGATCTCATGCAAATCTGCTTCTCCTTTTCATGTATGTCAGTGGATGTCCTAAGCCAATATCTCTAGATAGCAATGGATAAGGGCCAGTACCGAAATACCACTAGTCATCAATGTGGCCTACCAAGGAGTGCAAAGTCTGTCCATTCTGGAGAGGTTTGCAACTTGAGGATAGTTGCCTATAGAAAGGAAGGCACAAGGCTCTCCTGTGACAAGATGCATCTTTAACCAGCTTTGGCTGGTGCACAAGCTGCAAACCTTCCTTAACAAACATGATTTGGTATTTAACCATGCTGTGATCACATCCAAGTTTAATATTTTATTTATTTATTTGTTCAATTCATACCCTGTCCTTCCCGCTAAAGTTGGCTCAGGGCAGCTTATGTAAGAGATAAAACACATAAATAACAATTATGACATCATAAAAACCTTCTAAAAACAATTCAGTATTATAAAGTGCTAGCAAAGAACTGTAGTAGTATTGCTTGAGGATGGTGGGTAACTAATGCAAAGCACTCTTTGTGGAGCTGCATTTGAAGACAGACTGGAAGCTTCAGTTGGTATAAAATGTAGCAGTGAGATTGCTTGCTGGTAAGAGTTAAGCATCTTACCACTACTGAAGGATCTCCACTGGCTGCCAACTGAGAGGAGACAATTCCAAATCCTAATTATAATATACAAAGCACTAAGTGGTCTGGAACCAGGTTATCGGTGAGCTTACCTGTCAATAAAGATCAGCACTGAAAGGCCTGGTCTATGTGCTCCTCCTCTCAAAAATTAGATGGGTGACCACTAGAGACAATGCTTTCCTGTTGCAGCATTCCCTCGCATAAAAATTAAGCTGAGACCAAGCTTACTAAGGTTTTTAAATCTCAGAAAATATTCCTTTCCTTCATTTGGTTGGATTTTTCTCCCACATCTTCCCTGGTTCAAATATTTTGAATACTAAAGCAGGTACAGATAATTTTTTTTTTTAACTGCTCTTCTAAGGTCCCGGTCACACGTGCCGGAAAATGCGAGGGGGAAGCGAAGCTATTTGTGCCGTGGTAATTTGACCTGCCGCTGCGCGATCTGATGCAACGATGGGTGAAGCGGGTGTTATTCCTTGCAGCCGACTTCCGGTGCGCTTCATCCAGGAACCAGTGACGCAATCGGAGTGCGCCGGAGCGATCATGCTGGCAGCTCCGTCCTCGGCCCATTGCAACCTTGTTTGATAGTGGACTTTCCGTGGTTGTTTTTTACTCCACTTCTTTGGCTGACTGCTACGGTTTGCCAACAAGTGCAGGATGCTGGCCAGATGTGTCCGTTTGATCGTGCCAGTAAAATCCGGTCGGCATTTGTGAATATCCCATGGAAAATTCTGCGTGTGATCGGGGCCTAAGACTTTTATCATCAGCTAATCTTATTCCTTGGTTGTTTCTTACTATTGTTTGTTTCATATTAGAAGTATTTATGCTGTGAGGCAAGGTATAACTATTATAAATAGAAATGTGTTACGTTCATTTGGCTTCATTACCTGCTGATAATTCATACACTGAGGTACAGGAGAGTTTCTTGAGCAACCCAGGATTACTCAACCTTAGCTCCATACAAGCATCATCAGTAGCATCAAATCCTCCTCGTTTTTGGTAACGATATTTGGCATTGGCTGATGTTACATCTGCTCCAGATGCTAGGATATGGAGTCTGAGAATCTCAGAAAGAGTGCAACTATCAAGGTCCAGGTTTTTCAAATTGCAACCTGTAGTTAATAATATATTAGGGCTAGATTATTCACATATCTACAGTACTCAACAATATGAAATATACTTTTTATAAAATAGAGCAAAACATAACAAAAAAGTGAAACCCACACATACCCTGGTGTAACTGGGGCCAAGCAGCTGCCAAAGTTGCAACTGCAGATAGTGCAGATTTTGTGGGGTCTGCATCTTCATCCAAAGCCTCTGTTAAATCTTTAAGGAAATAAAGACTTTATTCTAGTGTAAATTAATACTTGAATCTGGGAGGTGAAGCAAGCAAACCTTTTTTAAAGCAACGCAGACATACAACATATAAAGACCGATATTAATGTAAGCGCCAGTGCAAAACAATTAGAGGCATGCCACTTAAGCACCAGGGAAAGCATGCAGCGGTCACTAAAAGCTTCTCAAACAGTACACAGATCGATTGTACACTCACACGGCGCGCAAAAGCAAAATCCAGAAAATGCTTTTGTAAAAGCTGCTCATGCAAGCCATCACACTGCACTCAACTGCATTTCTTCTATTAATTAATTATGTCATTACAATAATCACAGAGTGCAAAACTAAAAGAAATAAACACAGATCCCAGCAAACAGTCTGCTTTACTGTACTGCACAAGAGATTCCATATTCTAGATAGCTCATCAGAAAAGCATTAATAAACCAACTCTAGAGCAGCTTTAGGCAGGTTAGATGTAGCTACCAATAAGATCATGCAGAGGAAAAACTCAAAAACTTCCACGTGACACTTCTGGACAAAATACAACTTAGTGCATGTTTTCAATATAGCACAGATCTGGGACTCCAACCTTTTTGAGCTTGTGGGCACCTTTGGACTTCTGACAAAGCATGGTGGGCTCAGCCGCAATATAGGGTTGCCAATTGCCCAGTGGGGGCAGGCAATCCTGTTTTTTATAGGCTCCTGCTCACCACTGGCCAACAGGAGGGAATCCTCCCAAACAGAGATGTTGCATGCAACATGCCTGCATCACCCGGAAGTGACGTTGGCACAACAGGGAGGGGGGGTGATGCTCTGGCTCTTGGGCAGAACTCTATGGTTGGATGCAAATTTTACCATGGAGTTTTGCCCCAAAACCAGATCACTGCCCCCGATGTCGCCAACATCACTTCCAGGTGACGCGGGCATGTCATGTGTGATGTCACTGTTTGGGGGGGGAATGAGGGGCAACATCACTTCCCACTCCCAGAACGTCCCCCTCATCCCCCCTGCAGGTGAAAGGGACCTGGCAACCCTACCACAAAATGGCTGCCACAGGAGGTGGAACCAGCCACAAAATGGCTATCACAGCTTACTTTGAGCCACACACTGAAAATCCTTGTGCTACGGTGGCAACTGTTGCCAAAGTAACATTTTTAAAAATCCACAAAGCCAGTCAAATCTCCAATGGCCAACCAGAAGCCTTTCTAGGCACAAGTCCCACCTGCTTCCTACAAACACTTGTGGATGCCAGGAAAGGAGTTAGTGGGCACCACGGTGCCATGGGCACCACACTGGGTACCCCCAGTGCAGACAGTTCCAAATCATTATGGACCATAAGCAAGCGACCACAACCCCTTTCACACATATAGCTTTCAAGTTAACAGGCCCTTAGAGCACCAAGTCTACTCCTGTTGTCATCCAGGAGTGGAAATGAGGAAGCAGTAAACTGTTCCTTGTTAATTTGCAAAAAAGATGTATATTCTCACTATCTGTTCATAAGAAATAATGAAGTAATAATTCCACACTGATGCCATCGCAACCATAGCTCAGAGTACCCCTTTCTAGAAAGCAGAACTTAACATTTGTGCAGGGAGAAACTTGTTCAGTGCAATATGTGAAGAGAATTAATGAACTCCCCAGAATAGCTCCTACAGATGTATCTTAATGCCTTTTGATTTTATTCATGTGAATAAACCAAATCAGCCTAACCAAACTACAGCAAGCTATGACTCAGAACAAACATGTCTATACTGAACTCATCAGTTTATAATGTACTAGCCTGCTACCTGTGCTTCACTACGGTATTTAAGTTCCGTAAATCCAGTTATAATACTGATTATGTGAAATTTGAAATGTGACATTTGTTGTAAGAATTCTAACAGAGAAGATTGTAGTGTAAGAAATTAAGTGAGACATACGTACTTTTTCTCTCTCTACTGAAGGACCTCTCTCTAGACCACATTGGTGGTTCTGCCCTCAGGTGCTAGGATCACCAGGCTGCTTGATGAGCTCACTCTGGAGCAGGCCACATAGAGCTGTCCATTTAAGAAGCAGTTGTCTGTTAAGTCAACTCCTGCTACCTTCCATGAAAGTGATGGCCTCTCTACTTGTGTTCCTGGATTGTTTTGCTCATATGGAGAGACTGGGGGGAGCACATTTTCAATGGGGGGAGCACATTTTCCCCCTTTTGACACACTTTGGGGTCAAATTTCTAAAAATCCCTTCTTAGCAAGCACCTACGTCACGGTAGGAGCACTCTCCCTGAATTTGGTGTCTCTAGGTCCAACGGTTTGGCCTGGGCGTTGATTTTACGGTGAGGGAACTTTCTTTTATATATATAGATGGAAGCTTTCAAGACTATGAAAGAATCAAAAACTAATGACAACATTAACAAATCAACATTCTTCTGCTCTGCTATAAAATAAGTCCTGGTAGAACAGGCAAAGGGTCCCCTTTAGTTCCATATCCTACTTCTCACAGGGGCCTACTACATGTTCTGGAAGGTTTGCAAGCCAGTGGAGACTGGCAATGGTGCTCCCACTGCTTCTCGCAACTGCTGTTCAGAGATAAACTCACTTTGAACATGGAGTGAGTTTCAGCCATCATGTCTGATAGCCACTGATGAACCATGAAGATACCTAATCCTCTTTAAAGCCATCTAAACCAGTGGCTGTTACTACATCCTTCAGTAGCAAATTCCACAAGTTAATTATGCATTGTGTGAAGAAGCACCATCACTGGTGCATCCTGAGTGCCACAGAGTGCTAATGTTGAGCTAGCAAGAAAAACACCCCCCCTCCCAATGCATAACTTGTATGGCCCTTTACAGCTCCACAAGTGTTCCCTCTGGAACCTTACAATGGAGAGTGCAGTTCTTTTTATCCAAAGTTTATATATTTCAAATAAAAAATGCTTTTAAAAATACAGTCTCAAAATAGTAAGAGTAATACTAGCCATGAAACCCTGTGAACTATGGATTAGATATGTACTCCAAACAAAGCTTGATTCACAGAATGGAACTTCTCCTTTTCACCCCCACTGCAGCCTACCATGCTTCCCAGAACTCTGTGCCTAGTGGTACAGTAACCCTAGAAACAGAAATGAGAGCTATATGAGGGACTGCAACAGAAGGAAGGATTTAGCAGAAATGCCCCCCCACTGGTAGAAGATTAGCTCTGCAACCAACTCTATATTTCTAAGAAACGGGTAGCTCTAAAAAGAACATTCAGGTTTATCCACAGAATCCTATAAACAGCCTCAACCAATTTTTGTTTTTGGTGGGATGCTCCAACAAGCCTTTACGGTATATCCAGTACCCACAGTTGTGACTAGATTGGTTCCAGAGAAGAGATACACTTTCTTATTGAGAAATTTCAGAGAAATAGCAGTGTCAAGAGCATTACAGCTGAATAAAATGGAACCCTGTGACAATACAAGGCTAAAATTTATGAGTAGAAAAAAGCAAGAGTCCAGTAGCACCTTAAAGACTAACAAAATATGTGGCAGGGTATGAGCTTTCGTGAGTCATTACTCATTTCTTCAGATACCAAATGAGCAGTGACTCACAAAAGCTCATACTCTGCCACGCATTTTCTAGTCTTTAAGGTGCTACTGGACTCTAGCTCTTTTCTACTGCTACAGACAAACAAACATGGCTACCCATCTTGATCTGGCTGACACAGCTAAGCTCTGAGAAGGAGCAGGAGATAGAGCTGCTAGAGGGGTGAGTGTTTTTTATTTACTTTCAGCCGAGGTGATTTAGCTGAGAGGGTACTGTGTGGGGGTACTGTGTTTGGGAGTGTGTGGGTGAGTTGAGAATTGTTGCAGAGTCCTGGCTGCTTGAGTTAGGGTGTGAAAGGGTCATTGTTTGACTACCTGGGTGAATTTGAATAGCTGCTGGCCACACCCTCTGCTGGGGGAAGCTTCTGTTTAAGACAGCACCTTGCCAGAGGCACGAGCCCAAGGGTGAGAGCCAAAGGGCTGTTGGCCTGTGGCTCTTAGACTAGGGACTCTGTAAGAAGCCCGGGAAGAGCCAGAAAGCCACGGCCCTAGTCTCCTTGGGTTCCCAGTAAGGTTAGTAGACTTCTAGAAGGAGAACCACATAAACACAAAGGGTTTTAAAAGAGGGATTATATATAATTATTATTTTAAAAGCAGTTATGAAGCCAGAATGCCAGCAGGGGGTTGGGGGCTATCCAGTGTTTTCTACGGCGTGTCACATGTACCAGCCTACATGTCACATGTATCTGCCCACTGCACAGAAGACTTGGGTGTGTGCCTGGTGCAAGGAGCTCCTGGTTCTCAGGGAACGAGTTTGCTCCCTTGAGGCCAAGGTGGCAGACCTGGAGAAGCAGAGACAGTCAGTTAGGCGCATGGAGAAGACGCTCGGGGACTTGTTAGATATGTCCCACTCTGAATAGGGTAGCCCCGCCGCTGTCAGGGAGCATGAGGGTCAAGAGGAAACAGGGCACTGTGCTGCAGATAATTGGGAATGTGCCCTCAGAAGGGACCTTCAGCTGGTGAACGGGTATCCTTTCGCATCAAGAAACCATCCCTTGGCAGGGAGGGAGGGGGGCTCTTGATAGTTGGTGATTAGATCCTTAGGGAGGTAGACAGCTGGGTGGCGAACCCGCGTACTGACCATATGGTGACTTTCCTGCCTGGTGCGAAGGTAGCGGACATTACGCGTGTTCTAGATAGGCTGGTAGATAGTGCTGGGCAGGAGCCAGTGGTCGTGGTACACGTTGGCACCAATGATGTGGGGAAATGCAGTCATAAGGTCCTGGAGAAAAAATTTAGGCTGCTAGACAAGAAACTCAAGGCCAGGACCTCCAAGGTAGCCTTCTCAGAAGTGCTACCTGTTCCACGTGCAGGGCCAGAGAGACAGGCAAAGATCAGGAGTCTCAATGCGTGGATGAGATGATGGTGTGTGTGGGGGGGAGGGTTCAAGTTTGTTAGGCACTGGGATGCTTTTTGTAACAAGAGGGAGC